GCACGACACCAGGTACACGTTATTGCTGGAGTTAGTACTTTACTATTACCCTGAAAAAAGGATGCACTAATTTGTGCCCCGTTAATGATTTCATGGGTAACTTTCGTGCCTCGGTGGTAAAAAAAACAAACATCAGTTGTGGGACTACGACGGCACACGACATGACGGACGGCAAAAACATTACGCAGGAAAACATCGCTCCCGTGCGATGGCTCTCTCGTAATTGAAATGATCCTCTGACTACCTGCGAATCCTCTGCGTCAGTGATTGGGGTTCACTTTTTTGATCGTATGACTAAAGTGAAGAAGTGCAACCAACATGCGGTTGGCTTTTATGACACAAAAAAAAAAGGGGGGGGGCAGAGCTGGTGTGGGGAATTCAATTTTAAAATTTAAACGTTAATATTTTATTCATTTTTTTTTAAAAAGTCTTATGAATTATTGCAAGGGAGTTGTGGTTTGAATTCGATGGGAGAAGAATCATTTCCCTTAGGAAAGAACACCAACAAAATGTCATTAAAATAATTAAAAATTAGGAAATTATATTAGCTAATTTTTTTTTCCAAAATTCACTAGGAATGATACATCTTTTGTTGGACTTTCAAATCGTTTTTTTTTGGGGAGTTAATTATAACGAGGTGAAAATTTCTAATCAAGAAATATTGATTTTTAAATCCTTTATATCAACTTCGCTTTTGTGTTTTGAGGGCAAAATTTTCCCGACGTCTAATCGACATCCGTCCCGTCAACCTGTCGAGGTGAAACTTGGCACATAGCCCCGTTGCCGATGACAACCCATTCTATCGGATGACAACCCATCCTATCAAATTGTCAGCAACACCCCCAACCCCCAAAAAATAAGTTGTTTTTTTTTTCCTTTTTTCCATGGAGAAGATGATGAGAATATGACGCCCCCGGATTTTATTTAAGAAAATTCCCGATAACTGCGCTAAATGATAGTCTTTAAATAAAAATCGCAAGTGCGTTCGCTGCGTAATATTTTGTTTTATTTTTCTCCAATAGTTGGTGAAATAAGTCTTGCGGTGTAATAGCGGGTGGGGCATAAGCAAATAATTTATAAGATAATTAAAAAATGCATATCAAGGATTTTTACGAAAAACTTCGTTTTTTTAGGGGATTGTTTAATTAGATTTTACAATGTAAACCTACTTTCTAGAGTTGCGAGCGTGACCAATGCACTGCGGATCAGCATTTGAGATCCACTGCTCGAAAAGTCAGTCCTCGTGGATAGTCTAGACTACCATTCAGCAGGTACTGGCTTTATTCTTGTTCACAGGACAGAGGAAGGGACTCGGTGGGGATGGGATATAGTTTATAATACGCCACGTGGACAACACACCCCATCCCCCACCAAATCAAGCCCCCAACTCTAGCCCCACATCCTTTGACTTGCCTTGGAGCTGTGATGTTATCTGGTTTTCGTCATCTGTCAAGATACAAAGTCATTTCCATATGTTCTACACCCAAAGGATCTCTTAAAAAATGGAATGAAAAACGACATGTGGTGCATTTTGTGACTGCACGTTAATTTACGAGACTCTTTTTTTTTTTTTGTACATCTTGGTTGATCTCGTAGGTAGATCTCGTAGGTAGATCTCGTAGGTAGATCTCGTAGGTATCTCTTAAAAAATGGAATGAAAAACGACATGTGGTGCATTTTGTGACTGCACGTTAATTTACGAGACTCTTTTTTTTTTTTTTGTACATCTTGGTTGATCTCGTAGGTAGATCTCGTAGGTAGATCTCGTAGGTAGATCTCGTAGGTAGTACTCGTTGGTAGATTTCGTAGGTAAATCTCGTTGGCAGATCTCGTAGGTAGATCTCGTAGGTAGATCTCGTTGGCAGATCTCGTTTGGTAGATCTCGTTGATAGATCTCGTTGGTAGATCTCGTAGGTATGGTAACTTACTTATCAATTGATGTAAGAGTCATTCTCTTTCAGTGGGCGTAAAAGTTAAAACATGCTTTTGATGATATTGTTAAACTATCAACTAAACCTGTTCATATATATAATAGAGCAGTGGTTCTCAACCTTCCTAATTCTTCGAAACTCTAATAAGTTCTTCATGTTGTGGTTACCCCAAATAATAAAATTATTGTCGTTGCTACTTCCTAACTGTAGAGTATATGTGTTTTTTCCGATGGTCTTAGGCGACCCCTGCGAAATGTTCGTTAGACCCCAAATAGCGTCGCGACCCACAGGTTAAGAGCCACTGTAAGAGGGGATTACAATAGAGGGGGGGGGGAATTTGGGTAAGGAATGATTTTAACGAATGAATTGGTGGGAAGGTCGATGATAGGAATGGTGGAAATGTTGGAATTGTTTCTGGAAGAAATGCGAAACGTTAACTATTTTAATTTCTGCGATTCTAAATCGGGACCCTAGAGCGAGCAGAGGCATACTGACACTCCCATACTTTACATAGAGTGATCACTCCCAACATGGCACACTTGCCCTGCTCCACAGTGGGATCTTAATTATTTCTGTTTAAATCGAGAACAAACATAATGTATTTCCGTTCAAGTGGCATCACTCCAACAAAAACCAATTTTGCTAACTGGAGATAAACGTATTGTATCTACATAAAAAAAAAAAAAAAAAAAAAAAAAGGGGGGAAACAAAAACAAACAAAAAAAAAAAAAAAAAAAAAAAAAAAAAAAAAACTGCTGAGAAACTAATCGAAGCTAGTCTAAGAACTGAACCAGAGAATAGAACAAAAGACCAACCTCTCTGGACAGCGATCAACAGCTAACCGTCGACAACAAATAGCTACTTTCCCCAACGTTGTCTTTAGTAATCTCAGTTGTATACAGCAGATTCGTATAGCTCTAGAAATCCATTCCTTTTAGTTGTGTACAGCTCGCCCGTGGTTCTATAAATCTATTCCTTTTAGTTGTCTACCACATATCCATAGCTCTAAGCATCCACTCCTCTCTGGTTTGTATTGAATATCCATAGATCTATACACCCATTCCTCTCTGCTGTGTACTAAACATGCATAGTGTCAAGGGTATGAGAATCACTGTTGTTATGTGTGGAGCATTGTTGTCATATTTGATAGGGAAAAGATGTTGAGTTAGAGATTTTACGTGTAGCTATATCATTTGTGTGAGAGTGTTGTGACGTAATTGTGTAATGGGAAGTGACGCGTTAGTTTTAGTGTTGTTGGAGAAGAGAGACGGCCGTTGTGCACTATTCAAGACATAGCTTCTTGTGTGATGTTTCTATGTGTGAGGATTTCAACTAGATATAATGTGAAGTTGAACGGTTACAAGTTGTATAGTGAAGTACACTGATTGTCATGTTGAAGAGGCATATTAAATTTATATATTGTAACGAACCGTGGAGTGTTTGTTGAATTGGAGATTATTACTATTGGTTGTGCTGTTCGGTGATCAAGTGGGAGACTTGGCTGGATGAATAGACAATCATTGCCACGAGTGGATGATTTGCAACACAACAGATACAACGTCTCGACACATAGAGGTATACATCCATTCCTCTGATGGAATTGACTTCATAATTACCACTTCTTTTGGAACTCTCTATGTTAAATGGGTTTGGACAATTTCATTTTTATTTACTAAGTTATAAGCATACAAGGATGCCGAGGGTACAAAGTATTGTTCTAAAAGAATGGATGAATCCAGGCCAAACTTGGTATGCACACCCTCATTACACATATTAGAATATCGGTGTATTTTAACAAATAATACCTGATTTTGTCAATTCCTAAAAAGGCTTTTTCTTAGAGATTTTTCAACCAGTTTGAATTTGATTTTTTAAAACACCTTTTACACCAATATATAGTTTTAACATTTACTCGAGTATATAGTTTTAACATTTACACGAATATATAGTTTTAAAATTTACACGAATATATAGCTTTAAGATTTAATCGAATATATAGCTATAACATTTACTCGAGCATGTAATTTTATCATTCACTCGAATACATAGTTTTCACATTCGTGATCAAATTCTGATGGAAAGATGAATAAATATTGTTTGTTTGTTTTTTAACTCATGTATTTGGACTTTGTTTGGTTTAAAGTTTATATGTAAACTGCATTACACGGGGCCCACATTTCTATGTTTTAGAAATTTCAGCCATAGATTTGTCTTTTGTGATGGGAACATTTTTTAACAAATGAGATTTGTATTTTTTACTTTAATATCAGTGAAGCGGTTGTGATGGGGACTTTAATTTCAATGTAAAGTGATATGCCTGGACATAATATTTCCAAATGCAAACCAGGGCGATGCTGGATGTATTAGCCAGTAGCTCTTTTGAATACATTCCTACCGGTTAAATATACAACACTTCCATAGCTCCATAAATCCATTGCCCCCAGATGCATACCACGTACCGTCATATATTAACTGAAATCCATTAGTAGGTTTCTAAACAGATCTACATAAGCGGCCATTCAATAATGTGCTATCGCTTATGCGACTAGACAGCTTCTGTTCATGCTTGTATTGTTTTTTTTTTGTAGGCGTGAGTTTTGGTGTGGAGATTACTTGCGTAGCTGTTGCTATAAATGTGCTTTGTGTTCGTGACGTATTTGACGTGTGACGTTGTTAGTTGTTATGGTTTAGTAGTTGTATTGGAGTTGCGGGTAAAAGAAGACACGATGTATTCTCAATAAAGAACCATGTGTCCTACTAATCTTGAATTTTGTTGAATAGTTGCCCCTCGACCAGCGGTTCTCGACCTGTGGATCGTGACCCCCTTTGTGGCTCGAACGGCCATTACACAGGGGTCGACTAAGCCCATCTAAAAACACATATTTATGAAGCAGCGACGAAAATAATATTATGGTTGGGGGGTCACCGCAACATTAGGAACTGTGTTAAAGAGTCGCGGCATTGTTGAGGTTGAGAGCCACTGCCCTAGACAGAACAAAGCCATTGAACTAATTATCCGATTCGCAGTTTGTTAGAGATTCCACATTAACTTCTGACATAGTAAATTGAATATTTTCTTAAACATTTGAAACCCTAACTTAATTCAACTAACTGTGCATGACTCAGACTTTATCGTATAATTCTGGTTCAGACTTCCAACAGAAACGTGTCAGGATTAATTGCAGACACATCTCCGCTAATTCCAATAAGAATCTCTTCAATCAGCCCCAACAAATCGTAGGGCAGTCTGTAGATTTTTGTGGTTTGTTAAAAGTTGTGTGGCACGAAGTAGAGGAGTGAATTTCGTGTTACGGAAAAATACATCAATTATCTCCCTCTTAACTCTAGACTCTAGACCCTCATTATCTACTTCAACTGCTGAGTGGAATGATGTCGTTGAACGTTACAATGCATCATCTGGCGTAGAAAAAGGGCAAGAGTGCATAGCACAGGTCTACCCTGGGAGGCAATGATTTTTTTTTTTTTTTTTTTAAAGAGAATTTTCATGGGGGGGCGATATTTTCAAACAATTTAACAGATTTTTTTTTTTAATGGAGTAAAGTGGGCGGCAAAAATCTTGGTCCGCCCCTGACTGCTTTAACCCCAGTCACAGCTTTGATATATGCAGCTTCTTTNAATGTTTTTTTTTTTTTTTTTTTAAAGAGTATTTTCATGGAGGGGCGATATTTTCAAACAATTTAACAGATTTTTTTTTTTAATGGAGTAAAGTGGGCGGCAAAAATCTTGGTCCGCCCCTGACTGCTTTAACCCCAGTCACAGCTTTGATATATGCAGCTTCTTTACCTAAACATTACAATATTGTTTTTTTTTCCCTCTAACTTAAAAAGGTAAAAACAGTGCTGTTTAGCTTTACTATGTAGAAAAGGTTGTTCTATACAATTTTTTTTTTAAAGCATTTGCAAAAAATAAATATTAATAATTCAAAATCACCAACCCAATGACGTCATTTCAATTTTTAAACTCGTTATATAAAGCCGGATAGCCCAGAGCCTAAAATGAAATTTTTTTTTTTTTTTTTTTTTTACATAATATTTAATTTCTTTTTTACTTTATTTAAAAAATAAAGCAATTAAAAAGAAAAAATTTTGCACTCGGATATTTTGTTTATGTTTGAAATAAGCAAAAAATTAGGTCTTATAAATATTAATAATTCGAAATCACCAACCCAATGACGTCATTTCAATTTTTAAACTCGTTATATAAAGCCGGATAGCCCAGAGCCTAAAATGAAATTTTTTTTTTTTTTTTTTTTTTACATAATATTTAATTTCATTTCTACATTATTTAAAAAATAAAGCAATTAAAAAGAAAACATTTTGCACTCGGATATTTTGTCTATGATTGAAATAAGCAAAAAATTAGGTCTGTAATCAATCCATTCGAAAAGATACCCAAGGCAGACCTACCCGCAGATGAATGCATGACGTGGAAGAAGATCTTACAGCTGCTGGGAAACCAAACATGGTTAATTTAAGTCTTAAGTGTAAGGAAGTGGTTAGGCAGGCCAAGGCCCTACATGGGGAGCAGGGTTTCTTTCAGCTATATCTCTGGGGGGGGGGAGGGGGCATTGCGCCTCCTCCAGGGAAAGCCATGTGCCCCTTGGAGCAAAAATGTCCAAAAAGAAATCAACTGGCACTGCTGGCACATCTGGCACTGATGGCACTGCCTCCCCCCAAAAAAAAAATCTGCAGTCTCCCCCCCCCCTCCGAGGGGGGGGGGGAATTCTGAAATAATCACTGATGGGGTGTAGGGCCACAAGGATTGGTGGAAGGAAGAGGTGAGGCAGGCCAAAGCCCTACATGGGCTGCAGCACCACGGCCATGGTTGGAAGGAAGCCGTGAGGCAGGCCAAAGCTCTACAAGGGCTGTAGCACCATAGAGATGGAGGGCATGAAATAGTGAGGCAGGCCAAAGTCCTACATGGGCTGCAGCACCATAGAGATGGGTGGAATGAAATAGTGAGGCAGGCCAAAGTCCTACATGGCTTGTAATGCCACAGGAATTTGGGGGGGGGTGAGAATTAAAAATGCCCATTGTATCAATTAAAGAAGTGAGAAAACGAGTAAAGGATTGTAAAGACGAGTCTGGTTTTTTACGAAACGAGCATAAGGTCACAAGGCCATTACGCAATAGCGACATGCAGGTGTTTTCTGATTTCAACACGTTCATTTCGCAACGCCGACAAGGCAGGTGTTATAAAAAAGGACGTACGTTTATTTATACAAAGCAAACACACTAAACGTGACAATTCGATATTATTCCCCTTTGTAATCAAAACTCAACAAAAAAATGGACAGAAGAAAACAACAACCAAAAAAAAAACAACAAACCAAAGAAAAGAGAGTCGTCAGATATAAGAATAATAAATGAAGGACCCCTGTCCAGCTGTGAGAATGAAATAGAAGAACAAGGGTTTGCCTAGGCTTGAGACAGAAGGACAGTACAATAGAGGAAGAACGTTTCGGCCAAGAGCCTTCCTCGGCAGACGGGACACATGAAGGAAACAACAAGAAATAGAAATTAGTTCAAAAACTTAAGTGTTCGCCATTAATGTCATCACCATGAATGTTATCGTCATTAATGTTATCGCCATTAATGTTTGTGTTAGATGTAAGCCTCCTGCCCCCATCTCTCCCCCTTTTTTAAGTCTTAGCCCTACCGCTGACAAAATAATGCTAGTATTAGAACTAGAACGAATTCAAGACATTGAACGATGTGTACGAATATTGCATTACGGAGTAATTCTTCTTTGCACAGTGGAGTAAGACACCAGAAATGGTATAGTACTTGATTGAATCTCAAGCCTTGGGTCAATGAGTGTCTGCCGTCGGTTGAAAGAGATATGCAAATGTGGAGATATTAAGACGCGTCCACCAAAGTGGCTTCCTTCGAGAGTACATGTTGACCAGGACTTTGATTAAGATCGAATACTTACAAGGAGATTGCTAATAGTTTCTATTGGGCATCAAGCATTCCTATTGGTGTGTAGACTATATTGCAACAGATAAATGCCAGACACTGACTGAATATATAAAAAAAAATGTGGGGAGATGTTTCTGAAATATTTTTGGGGAATTTCCATTTTACTGGACGTTTTATGTTTCTTCAAAGGAGGATTGCTTGGTTCACAACGAACTCCTGGCCAAGAGCGATAATTCCGTTGCAATGTTCCTAAAAAAAAAAAAAACTGTTGGTAAAGAGCAATCACTCCTACGTCTTCGACCTGACGCATAGTTCTGCCCACAAAACAATGATAAATGTTCAGGGCTATGGATCTTTAAAGACTCTGGATGGAATGGACTCGTCGAAGCGATCTGATTGTTTTGTGATTTTTTTTTCCTTCATCAGGATGAGGTGACCACTGCGTAAATGAGTTGTTAACCAAAAATCTCGGGTTACAACGGCCGACTGGGTGGTACCCAAGAAATCAGCTGACTAACTGATCAACAAAACAAGTTAAGTAAAAGATGTTGTAAGTTATGATAAAACACTAAAAATGTGTTTATTTTCTAGTGTTTATGTTATGGAAATTTAAAAAAAAAAACGCTGGCAGTCGTATGCTTTGTGGCAGGCTCGAGGGAGAGTTGTAAGCGTGTCTCCAATCGTATGCTTCGTGGCATGTGATGAGAGTTGAATGTGCATCACCAGTCGTAGGCTTGGTGGCATGTGCAGGGAGAATTGTATGCGCATCACCAGTCGTAGGCTTGGTGGCATGTGCAGGAGAATTGTATTCGTGTCTCCACTTGTATGCTTGGTGGCAAGAGAGTTGTATGTGCACCACAAGTCGTAAGCTTGGTGGCAAGAGAGTTGTATGTGCACCACAAGTCGTAAGCTCGGTGGGGGAATGCAGTTATAATGCAAGTCCTCATTATTTACCCGTCTCATTGACCCGGTTGCCCTGATAAATAAACATAACCACAAAACTCACCAAAAAAAAAAAAGTTTTTTTGACAGAACTGACTATGACGTCGAATGTTTTGTTTCGTTTCTTGCCTGGCCTTTTGCCAACTTTGTAGATTTTGGTATACAGAAAAAAAAGGGAATAATAATGTGTCAGTTTGACTCTATAGGAAAGTGGAATCTTGAATTCACCAACAGTTGGAATTGTATCTGTACTCCGCAATAGGACATGCCGGCTAGTTCTTCTCATTTTCCAGAGTTTAACTTATCACGGGGAGACGGGGTAAACGTGACTCTCATTCCGGGATCCAGGGATTTTCCCGGGGTGAAACTAACTGTGTATTAAATTTCCAAAACTGAATTAATTTATGAAAGAGTATGTTTTAATAATTGATAAACGTGTAGAGTCTTCTAGAGAACCAAAAAAAAAAAAAATGATACTTATCTTTATTTGAGCAGTCGTTTTTTTTTTTTTTTCTAAAAATTTTCACCCGGGATTTCCCGATATTGGTGGAAATTTGTTTCTAAAAATTTTCACCCGGGATTTCCCGAGATTGGAGGAAATTTGTATATACTAACATTTGAACAGTGTGCCGTGATATCAGTTGGGAACCCCCCCCCCTTCCCCCCAATGCCATGTGATATTCAGTGATTTGAATTGCTCATGGGAGAGGAAGGGGTGGGGGGCAATTTTACCAGCAACTTGTCTCCCAACATTAGCGACACATTTTTAGTCTGACGTTGTTGGTCACGTGTGCAAATAAAATTAATGTTATCCCATGGCCGAGGCCAATAAATAGCTTAGCTCTCCAGTATTTTTTTTTTAACTTAATAAAAAAATTCCAAAACACAACAAAAAAAAAAAAAAACTTTACATAAAGCTGTCAATATCTTGCAAGAATCCCGCTTTTGGTGGGTTTGAGAATCGCTCTCGGCTGCACTGCTTGTGGCGCGTCGAATCTCAGAAAGAGACCGTGACAACATCAATTTACCCCAGAGATAGTTTCACATTCCACGGAAACTCCACGTTGGTAAACAAGGGGTCGGCCACTCTCGACGATGGGAAATCTGCTTTTGTACAGAGTAATCGTTTCTTTCATTAACCAAAAAAAAGAAAGGGAAACTATTTGTGCCTCGTTTCTGGCTCGGTAACAATTTGGACGCCTCCAATATTCTTTGAAGAAGATCAACAAATTAGGTCTACTTCTATAACGTAGCACAAGAGGTACTACCAGACTAGGTAGGGGGAGAAATGTGAAAAGGAGCCCGCTTACTGGCAGACTCTCACGCGGAGGTACATTACGGAGGCACACCTAGATTTTACACGCAGAGTATCACGCAGAGGAACATACAGATTTACATGCTGATTTTCACACAAATTCACACTCATTCACACGCATAATTACACGCAGATTTACACGCAGGGGTAAACGCAGATTTACAAGCAGGGGTACAGTCAGATTTACACGCAGATTTACTAGCAGGCGCACAAGCAGATTTACACGCAGAGGTACGTTCATATTTACACGCAGGTACACCTAGCATTACACGCAGATTTACACACAGAGATATAATTAACAGATGCACGCCGGGGGTCTCGCTGATGCACTTGCAAATTTACGTGCTGATGTGCATCTGGGGGTACATGTAGAAGCACATGTACACGCACAGTTACACGCCCAGTTACACGCACATGTAGAAGCACATGTACACGCATAGTTACACGCACATGTAGAAGCACATGTACACGCACAGTTACACGCACATGTAGAAGCACATGTACACGCATAGTTACACGCACATGTAGAAGCACATGTACACGCACAGTTACACGCACATGTAGAAGCACAATTACACGCACATGTATAGGCACAGTCACCCGCAGATGCACGTGCAGATGTACACGCAGGTGTACACGCAAATGTACAACGCTTTGTCGAGTCCAAGACTTCACGGCAACTGCATGGGAAGGAGGGAGTGAGGGGGGTGTGGAGGGAGAGATGAAGATTGCGTATGTAAGAAAGGAAATAACGCGAGTAAAGGGGAGATAATTGGTGTCACCAAGGGGATTCGGCGTGTCAGGCAGGGGGGGATCAAGCGTGTCATGAATGGATCGAACCCCTAGACGAGTGGGGTTATGTAACGTAGACCTAGCCGGTGTTTTCTGTTTAAACCCGGAATTGCAGGCAGTGGTATTTTAAAAAAAAAAAAAAAAAGAAAAAAAAAAAAGAAAGATAAATGAAATATTGAAAGTTCAATCAAATTATGTTTCACCTTTTTATTGTTTATGTGTTTCAATTCTTTATGACATTAAATGTATTGGTATTTTAAAAAAGAAAAAAAAAAGAAAAAAAAAAAAAGAAAGATAAATGAAATATTGAAAGTTCAATCAAATTATGTTTCACCTTTTTATTGTTTATGTGTTTCAATTCTTTATGACATTAAATGTAATGATAAAAAAAAAATTTTGGTTTGGAGTCTGCCATATTTGTTTTTTAATAACGGAAAATTTAATGAGAAAATAATCCGTTTTAATTTAATTCCACGTGTGTGTGTGAGTGAGTGTGTGCTAGAGTGCGTGCGTGTGTGTGGGTGTTTGTGTGTGTCTATGTGTATGTGTGCTGTCGCTTGTCATACTGTGACGAATTTCTTTCTATTCAATCATAAAAATGAAAATGAACAAGATTTTCCCTTGTGTGACGCATCAATCTGGGTACTCAATAATATTTTAATTGGTTTGTCCCGCGCATTGCTATCGAGCCGTGTTTTGGGGCTACGAAACTGTCAGAGCGGTTCTCGTGCTATGTGCGCACTGTAGACCCTTAGTTTTTTTTAAATATTTTTTTTATAAGGACAAATTAATTAAAAGATATATTTTTTGGACAGTTAATTGGTCACAAGTAAATGAAAGGCATATTTTTGACAGCCAATATTGTCTAACACATCTATTTTGCAAGCACCTTCTGGGGTGGTGCTATCTACCATCTTTTTCAGTTCATGTATATTGGCTTGTGTTGCTTATGGTTGAAACGGGATGAAAGACTTTGACATGGTATGCTCGTATGTAGCTTTATAGTGTTGCGTCTGTCTTTAAATGTGGTAAGTTTTAGATTGTTTTTATTTCTCTTTATAATATGGTTTACTTTGTACCACGCTTCGAACTTTTGGGGATGAAGCGTGTTTTTCATAAAAACTTTATTATTATTATTATTATTATTATTATTATTATTATTATTATTATTATTATTATTATTATTATTATTATTATTATTATTATTATTGTCGAAACATTTAAGGGGAGGGTTTGTTTTTTGACAGCTCTGGTTCAAACAGTTAGTGAGAAATATATTTTTTTTGACAGCCGAATGTTTGAAAAGACGATGTAAAGCAGGGGTGGGCAAACTACGGCCCGCGGGCCACATGCGGCCCGGCAACTGATGCCATGCGGCCCCCCGAGTGCACTGAGAAATAAGAAAAATTACTTCGTGTTTAAATTATCTCACTGAATTTTACAGAACTGCATGTACAATTATGATTGTTTTAACATTTCTTAAATAAAAATTTCTCTTTAATTTTCATTTTTTTTGTAAACAGTCCTTGACCTTTGTAGTGTAATGTTAATATGGCAAAATACATATTCGGCCTTCAAATAGCTTTTAATTCTTCAATGTTACCCCACGCACACAAAGTTTACCCATCCCTGATGTAAGATATACTTTTACCAGCTCATTGTTTAACCAGTTAATGAAAAGTATACTTTTACCAGCTCATTGTTTAACCAGTTAATGAAAAGTATACTTTTACCAGCTCATTGGGTAACCAGTTAATGAAAAGTATACTTTTACCAGCTCATTGGGTAACCAGTTAATGAAAAGTATACTTTTACCAGCTCATTGTTTAACCAGTTAATGAAAAGTATACTTTTACCAGCTCATTGGGTAACCAGTTAATGAAAAGTATGCTTTTGACAGCTTAATATTTGAAGAAAAAAAATGTTAAGTATATTTTTGCCAGTTCATTGTTTAACAAGTTAATGAAAAGTATACTTTTATCAGCTCATTTGGGTAACCAGTTCATGAAAAGTATGTTTTTGGCAGCTCACTCTCTTACCCAGAACTCGGACCGCCGTTGAGCCAACCAACGATCGGTAATGGCGAACAGGGTTAAAAGGACTTTTCCTAAAGTTGTTAACCAACAGTCGGGCTATTATGACGTAAAAGACGGTGACCCCCTGTGTCCGCGTGGATCAAATGTGGTCTGACTGTGGTATGTGTGTGGGTGTTGGACCCGGGGGGGGGAGAGGAGGGCGAGAAGCCTTAAGACCTGTTCGTTAGTGGATTTATAGGTCACCCGCAGCAGTAGACCTAATTAACGGCAGTATCATACTTTCAATGGTCGTGTGCCGTAGTGTCGCGTTTACAACGCCGTGTTGCACGGGAGAGGTCACCCACCACCTAACCTCGTGGAAGCGATCTAGCCATAACCAAAACTAATTGCTTTTTTCTTGTGTTGTTGTTTTTAATCATTGTCTATACCGTAGCTAAATTAATTGTCCGTGGTCTGTCGGCGCACAGCGGTACATTTCTGGGGAAGCAATTTATTACTAGTTTAGAAATATAAATAAACTTCAGTGAGAACAATGGTCATTTATGAACAGTCTGCTGTTGGGTTGTCGTTGTGGCTTTTTTTTTTTTTTTTTTTTTTTTTAAAGAGGTTGTCACTTGGTTAGGGTTTGATTAAAAACTTTAAATAAAGGCAGCCCGGGGGGGGGGGAATAAGGCGTAAATTAAATATATGAACTAGAACATAATACAATTGTAATGGACATTCTCAATCCTGCATGCATCATTCGGTGCATAATGACTGTTTATAAAACCTCATACAGCTTTCAGGTGTGTACATTGAATAGGTGAATACCAACCGTTCCGGAATAAGGGGGTTGGTTTGGGGGAGGGGGGGGAGGGGGGGCGACACCCAAGGGAAAAAAAAATAATTAATAAAAACCAAATCAACAAACAAGCAAACCAAACCAAACCAAACAACACTAACAGCCCGTCAAGAAACATAAAAAACTACCAAACACGCACACACTCAAACACGCCATTTATATAATGTTATATATATATATATATATATATGCGTGTGTGTGTGTGTGTGTGTGTTTTGTGTATAAGCACCTAATACCCGCCCCTCTTGATTCGTCACTGATATATTTTATATAGCTCAAATTTTATTACTTAAGTTTTTTCGATGGTATTATTTTGTTTTCTTTTATTATAACAAATGGAAAAAAACAACAAAACACACAAAAATTTCCGTTTTAAAAATAAAAAAAATTAACCATGAAAAATGGTTCTTACCTTTATGGAAAAGTCCTCGATTATTATTTTTTTTTCAATTTTCACGGTCAGGTTAAAGTGATCCTAAGTGTTGGCATTACCAAAAAACCTCACCGCTTTCCAATCACATGCCGGCTATTAAGAGAAGTTGGTTTGTTGAAAGCGCAAAAGGAACACACCGTCTACAGAGGTCAAATGTCGTCATGAAATGCCAACCGATCCGTCCTGTGGAGCTATGCGAGCACAACTACGTGGAAACCCCCTCCTTGTCTAATACAGCACCGATAGAGGTGTAGTGGGTGGGGGCGGGAGGAGAAGGGGGTGGGGGTGCTGAATGCCAACCACGTGATCGGCGTACCTTAGCAACAACATGCGCGTCTTTAGGGAGAACGAGAATAAGGTGGAGGGGGGGACAAGGAGAAGGGTGGCGTCAAAGGAGAAACGGTGGGAGGAAATGGAGAAGGGGAGGGGGGGAGACAACAACCCCATTAAGCAAAGAGATTACCTTTGATACGATTAGAGTTATTGTTCCTGAGCCATGGAAAGATAACTTTTTGACCTAATTACCGGTTGGTTTGGCGTGATTATTTCGTGTGAATCGTTCTAAATAAAGCGTGGTAGCCTTCCGCCCAAGATATGAGAAGTGTTGTTTTTACATTTTCCATGTTTTCAATCTTTTTTTTTTTTTTTTGTTGTTTCCCCGAAGAAAAAAAAAAATGTAATCTTTCCGTCCTGTTGTTGTTACTTTTTTTTGAAAATTGTTAACCCGATAAAGAAAAAAAAATAAAGAAAAAGGTTTTAAATTTGTGT